ACAGAAGGGTGCTTCAGCTCCGATAACGTGGTCGGCTGTTTTTTGGGTTGAATTATTCCCTTTTTTCATTTTTATTGAACCTAATGCGAGTAGGGGGATCTGCCCAAATTTATTGCGGGGCATGCCCATTTTTATGATGGACCGTTAGTTAGTACGCGAGACGCCATGACGACATTAGACGCAGACGGATCCTAAGGCCCCTCCATGAACACGCCAATACAAACGGTGTAAACCACATATGCCTTTGAAAGAACAAAATGTGGGCGATTAAAACGTTAAACCACCCATCATTGCTTCCTTTCGAAATGGTCGTTAGCTGTATATGATTGGTGTAAACAGTCTCTGTCATGCACACAGCACCAGCTTGTAGTTACACGAGGCAACAAATGACGCGAAAGTGATTCATCGCGTAATGGCCATTTTGACCGGTCCAGGCAAAGTTTGCTCGATCTCATCCGTAACTGCATCGACAAGTCAAAGCAGAATAAAGGCATGAACAAGTGATGTAATATTATAGGACCCCTGTTCAGCGCTTGCCTGGTCTGCAATGCTACAGCACAAGACGCGAAAACGTCGCATGGGCGACCCGCATCGCAAAGAACCTACAAAGAAAATCATCTCTGTGGAAATGTTGGCGAAATTTCGCTATGTTGTAACATTGCCTCGTAGCATTTTCATTCTTCCGTAAGGACATAATTGAGAGATTACTGTTGTGACGGAGCCCCGCCGCGGTGGTCTAGTAGTTAAGGTACTCGGCTGCTGACCCACAGGTCGCGGGATCGAATCCCGGCTGCGGCGGCTCCATTTCAGATGGAGGCGGAAATGGTGTAGGCCCATGTGCTTAGATTTGGGTGCACGCTAAATAACCCCAGGAGGTCAAAATTTCAGGAGCCATCGACTATGGCGTCTCTCCTAATCATACGGTGGCTTTGGGACGTTAAACTCAACTTATCAATCAATCCACTACGGCGTCTCTCATAATCATATTGTGGTTTTGGGACGTTATACCACGCATATCCATCCACTGTTGTGACGGAAAACTTCGCCTTAGCCAAGAGTGACCCCTGTCGAAAGTGGGAGGGCTCAGCCCCACCAACTTTTCTCAGTGGAAGGATGGGGGCTCACGCCCCCTTGCCCCGCCCCGCTATTACGCCTATGCAAGATGAAATATTAAGGTGCTTCGCACCTAAAAAAAAAAAGCTAACTGGAGAGCGACAGTATCGAAGTAGTATTTATTTATTTATTTATTTACTTATTCATACTGCAATCCCTACTACAGAGATTTTAGCAGGGTGGTTACAGATATAATTTTCACAATGTTGGCACTCAAGAATGCATAAACCAAACAAACAAACAAAAAACAGAAAATAGAACGGCATGATATGAACAATCAGGTCAAATTTGCAGCAAACAACTTTAAGGACGGCGCCATCACTTGGTTATTAGTTTTAGTAAACTGACAACTGACATTTAATAAAAAAAAAAAAACAAAGCACCTCCTCCTAAGTCAGTATACATCATGAGCAAAAGCACCCCACTAGATAACAGCGCCGATCTCAACCATAAAAATCCCTACTGTTCAAGAAAATCACATTCCTGTTCAAAACCCCACAAGGTGCGCTTGCACATAATCGGGCCCAATATAGTTTCCAAATATGGTGCTACCACTGTGTCACTGTATCTGCTTATGGATCTGTTTTAATTCTTCTCCTGCTTTTTTTTTTCTTTTCTATGTTTCGGTGGCTTTCTTACAAAGACCCTATCGACTTCACGATGCGCCTCTACCATTCGACAACTTTCCGAACGAGGTGTGATTACAGCCAATCTGTCGTTTGAATCCAGAACGGGAGGACTGTGGACCAAGACGTAGCCAGCCAACAAAAGTAACATATGATTTTGATTGATATGTGGGGTTTAACGTCCCAAAACCACCATATGATTATGAGAGACGCCGTAGTGGAGGGCTCCGGAAATTTTGACTACCTGGGGTTCTTTAACATGCGCCCAAATCTGAGCACACGGGCCTACAACATTTCCGCCTCCACCGGAAATGCAGCCGCCACAGCCGGGATTCGAACCCGCGACCTGCGGGTGAGCAGCCGGGTACCTTAGCCATTAGACCACCGCGGCGGGGCCAAAAGTAAAAAAAGTAGCATGATCAGGAGAGGCGCAAAAAGCGCAATAGAGCATGGAGGGCTCCGGAAATTCAGGCCATCTAAATCTAGGCCCACCGTACTCTTAGCATTTCACCTCCACAAAAAAATGTGCTGTTACAAAACCAACACTGCTTTCATTGCTTTAGCTGCATATCAAGTCCAACCCCCTTTCCCCTCCCCCCTTTTTTTTATTGTTAGCTGTAATAATAAAGCTGGTACTGAGACAAAAGCAGGTACTGCGATAAGCTTCATAACATGGCCGCAACTTATGTGCAAAAAAAAAAACAGCAACAAATTTACGTCACCTGCCTATACGTTCAATCACGTTTTATTTTTGTGCGACCGTGTTAACGAGTCGTCTCTTTTCCGGGGTTGTGCGAAAATACAAGTTTTACGACCCAGGGTGCTTTATGTTACCTCTGTTACGAGCGATTTCTATAAGGCATTTATGGCACCCGACTTCTCTCTCTCTTACCTTACTCATCAAAACACGTTGTAGGGCTAGTAGCAGGTTCGTACTGAACAAGAAATAATAAGAATAAATGGAGAAAACGAGGACAGCTACTTTACGTTTTGCTTAGTTTCTTGTTTTCAAGGGGATATAAAGAGCAAAACGATTGTTTTTTTCGCTTAAGTTCATGCGTGCGTAGGCATATGTGCGTTTATATTGTTACGGGGACGATTTATTCACCGACAGCAGGTCTTGCTAACGGCTTAGAGAACGCACAGTCATGCAGGCCAACGGGGGAAGCTCGAGAGACCGACCCACAATAACCACGTTGTCGTCTTCCTCCTTTAGGGTGCCATTTCAGATGTGCCGAAGCGACAGTTCCATACACGTATCAATATTATACGCAAGAGAAACTGACAATTTCTGCAGTATATCACCCCCCCCCCCCCCCGCCTTGCACACCTCAGGCTACACACTGATGCAAGTATTTGACTGATTTATTCGTACGTCCATTCATTATGACTACAAATGTCGTTCATTAGCACAGTAATTGCGCCATTCGTTCAGTTTTTACAAGTACTCCCGAGCTGACACACACACAAGACGAATGTCTCCGAGTACGGTTCGAAAAGACAACGTTTCGTTTGACAGCCAATCTTCAGAGCCGACGCTTTTTAGCGACCGCTTAAGAGGATAGCAGTTACACAGAAAAATTCAAAATAAATGTTTATTTCATCATCATTTCATCAAACGCCAGAAGAAGGCTCCGACCAACAACGGGCCACTTCCTATTGCGATGGAATTGTTCGATTGCGGCCGGTTCCCCAGCGCCGCTTAAGCGTGCAGAAAAATGCGACCCCGTATCTGTCTCGATCGCAATCGAATTTGCCCCGCGCGCCCAAACGTTTGCTGACCATAACAATCTCAGCAATCAATTAGATCAGGCTGATCCGTGGCAACGATCCATCACTGCTGGTAACGCGAAGCTTTCATCAGAGTATATACAAAAAGCACGTACTGCCAAGCCTATATAATTTTCTCGCACATAACCCGCATTATAAAATATCAAAAAAAGGTTCGTAAAAAATGGGCGTGCGTATTACAAACGTTTCTTTTTGAGTTACAATTGTGGGAGGGACGGATTATATGCGACAAAATACGGTATGTACACGTTTGTTTTTTTAGTTCACATAAACTATTCTGGTTCGTCCTAGTAATGTTTCGCACAACCTACAACGATAAAACAACCTCCTCCCACCGCGAAAGCTACCAACTTGTTGCAGCGCGTGACTCTTCGACCCACGGCGTCATACACGACCTGCATACAGTGGCAAGTACAGACAGCGACACTTTGTATGAGAGCGCTTGCAGGGGTTGTCTCTCTCTCTTCCTTCGCACGTGGCACTCGGGTTCTAAACCTGCAACGCGCGCACGGTCGAATGCACAAAAGCGTGAACGAGGGGGTCGTGCCACACGCCCGGCAGCTGCCAGCGCGTCTTCCCACAACGCGCAGAGCCAGAAACATCTGCCCAGGGAAGGAGGGGAGGCCCTTGCAGCCACCGTGCGCGCCTTGCAACACCAGCGATGCAGAACGCCCCGAACGAGACCAAACGAGCCCGTCGGCGCATAGCAGATGCGACACCGGACGATTCGCCTATCCGAAATGGCCGCGACTCTTGTGTTTATACGGGTTGCCACGTTCGAGTCTGGCCTTCGCGCGAGATCTTGGCACCGATCGGTGAGCCAAATGGTGCCCAGACCTTGGCGACGCGGCCAAACTTTCGGCAAATGAGCGTAGCACTGCGCTCGCTGTACGCACGCAACAGGCGCAGCTGCGTTGTCGGGAACGGGCGCGACAATTTAAAAAAGGACCCAAGGTCAATTCCGCGTACTACGGCTCTGTGACAGGAAGACGACGCGGCATCAACGAACAGCTCGAAGAAAGTGCCGTCGCAACGGACGGGAATCGTCGTGGGAACGGAATAAAATAAAATTTTCGCTGCCGAGGCGCCGTTCCGGCACGAAATGTCGTTCAACCGGTTGCAGCCGACTATGTAGCGGCAGCAGCAAAAAGAAAGCGGCGCCCGCAAATAAAAATGCACGACAGATACGGCGGTATTCGCAAACCGTCGCCTAGGAAATTCGACGAAGATGCCATAAGGAAGAAAGCGAGCTTATGTCAACGGCCGACCCACGCGTAAGGGAGTCGTTGTCGCCGAGCAAACGTTCATGACCGTTTGAGTGGCGCACGGAAATGCCGCTGGCTCGTTTGTTCGCGGCGGAGTCTTCGGGTGAGCTAGCTGTCAAAACTCTTTGAAATGACGACCTACAAGCGCGATTTTCCGTGCGAAACCGTGCCCGATACAGGGCAAAAGTAGATAAAAGACACGCACCTTTTGCGCCTTGCACATGGATCCCAAGGCTTGGACGTCGTGACTGGCATGCCTTCCATCCTGGAGGCAGAGCACGCAGGCCGCAACCTTGCACACCATGCAGTACATGCTGAGCGCCTCGTCGACGTGATCGGAGCACTTGGAATCCCGAGCGCCCTGCGAGCGGGCGCGAAGGATTTTCTTGCCCTGCTGAGGCTCGAGCAGCGTGTGCTTGGCCAGGGGTCCGCGAGCCGGGTGACAGTTTTCACGACACGACTCGCAGTAGAACACCTCGCACTGGTCGCACATCACCGATGCCTCCCGCGGTCTATCGGCCTCGCACAACTGACAGGCCACGGGCAGGCGCCGCGTCTCGCCGTACTTATCCACGATGTTCTGCAGGGCCCGGTTGCGGGACAAGTTGTGTGCGCCATTCTCGTCGAAGTACACGAGCTTGTGGCACTCGGGACAAGCGAGCGACAGCAGGGCGACGCCGCTGTGAAGCAGCGGCGGGAAGAGAACACCCTGAAGGTTCGGGGTTCCCACGTAAGAACTCGGTCGGCTGGTGCAGACGACGCCGCTGTCCGTCTCGCTGAGCAGGCTCAGCTTGTCGCCATCGGGGTAATCCGCTGTGGTCCCGATCTCAGACGACGAACCGACAAGGCCGCTGTTGCTGCTGTTGCCGCTGTCTTCCGAAGACGACGTCGAGTTTGCGACGTGGGCAGCTGTCGGCGCGTTTGCCGGCTGCTGCGCGTTCAACGCACAGTTGAGGCACAGCGAGTGCGCGCACGGAAGCAACACCGGATTGGAGTAGAAATGCTTGCACGCGGGACATTTGAGTTCCTCCTCCATGGCGGCAGAGGCCCATCACAAACGCATGCCGAAAGCGCGCTCGAAGAGAACTGAAGGAGCGGGCGGGAACGCACGCTCTCGCAGACAGATCGCACGCGGCGCGCCGGGACAGCAAGCGCAGTGCGCAGGCGCGCGCGTCATCACGTGACTGTTTTGTTCACGTGACTTTTTTGAGCGCGTTCGATTCACTCGCGTATGTGTGCAACAAGTGTGGTGCGTTACGAGCATGCCACTCATCCAGGAAAGCTACAACTGACGTTTACTTTCGCCTTTTAAAATAGTCATTTATATTGTACGATCGCAACGCACACTGACATGGCCGCGCCCATTTTGCGGCTCTTGAAGCGTCGAGCGTCTTACGGGGCATCTGTTTTAAACGTTCACTCGCTGCGATCGCGAAGTTTATTGCGATCGGAATACATCGTTCGAATTTCGAGATGCATGTGTTTATACAGGTAGGACAATGTGAACTAGAGCCATTGCAGAGCGCGCGATCGTCGCGTTTATGCGCTCGGCTTGCACCTGAGCGGCGATGAAGTCATTGCGTAACTGATAATCATTGCCCGATAAGTACTTAGAGGTGAAATAAAGAATTGTAAGGAGACTGGGTGATCGCGCGCATGTTTGGCTGAAGACGCATGCGGACGAACACGATGTTGATTACGAGCGCTGTTCGAAGTTCTGCATTTCCGAGTTCGCGTAATCTGTGCCTTCGCGGAGTGCTGAACGGGGATGTTCGGTTTTGTTCACAACTTTCCAGCGACCCGGCGAAAGCTCAGCAAGAGTACGACGTAGTCATCGTCGGCGGCGGCATTGTCGGAGTGGCGACAGCGAGGGAACTCTCCTTGCGGCATCCGAAGCTCAAGCTGGCCATCGTGGAAAAAGAAAACAAACTTGGTGAGCGTAAGCTGAGATGATCTCCGCTTCGACGAGCAGTTGCAGGTCCATTTACTGTGTAATCGAAATGATAAACCAGTTTTCACGCCAGCAATCTTTTTCGGTGATGGTGCGCATTCGCTGATTGCTTTTATCAGCCACTGTCTGAGTGGAACATACGTACGAACGACCTCTAAATCTTATGGAGTTTTACGTGACTTTACTGCATACTAAAGAAAACTGCCTTCGCCCTTTTACCATTACCTTTGTTCAACTAGTAGGAAACTGTCCTTGCTATTGATATATCCCAGATGGAAAATGTTCCATTCCCAGCTAGATTATTGAACCGGAAATTTTCCAGCTTGAAATACTTTTATTTCGATAATTCAGCTCGATCTGGGTGAATATCTACCGGCACTCCGTCAGTTTCAGGCAGCTTGAGATTCATCGATTTGGAGCTGAGGAATATTTTCTGCTGAAGATATTCCCGTCGGAATGATCCAGCTGGCAAATGACGTTCTGGGATATTTATCAAAAGTTTTAAAAATTGTTACCTTGTAAGCGTAGGACTGCTTTGAAAATGGTTCTCTCGCTGTTCGAACAGTATTCGATATTTATTTGTATTTGATTCGGTGTCATCACCACTTGATTCTTATTCAATTGGATTATAATATTCACTATTCACACACCCCTACCAAAGAGTGCCAGAACATTTATTTTAACCCGAATGTTAAGTCACACTTTGTGTACCATGGCTAATTACAGACACAGCATAAATGAGAGCTAGTGTACAATGAAGCCAAGGGGAATATAGCAGAAATTTTTTGTAGTAATTACGATATAGATGTGAAAACAAGTTATAGAGGCACAAAAGGACAATTACCCTCTGAAAGGGAGCGAATCTGCAACTTTCGAATAACACGTCCCTTGCTCCACCAATTCAGCTACAGGTGGCGGTAGTTCCACCACTGACTCAGTCGGGTACATCTGTGCTCTTAAACCTGGAAGTGTTAGTCGGTGCCACTTGTAGCCATGGCGGAGAGTGTGGGACTGCCCTCCTTTTACCCGTTGGTGTAACATAGAATGTGATCTTATTGCAAGCTGGCAGTTGTTCAATGATGCCTTACACCCTACCAGAACGCAAAGAGTTTACCAAATGAAGAAGCAGAGTTTATGTGCTCGTTCTACCTCGTCACAGTGTTAACGAGAACGGACGGCCAAACATTTGATTCGACAAGTGCTGGTGTAGATTTGCCGGCACTGTTCTCAGTAGTACAGCTCACTTTCTGCTGTGCTGTCTGTCAGCGAACATGAACTGAGGGCATCACTAATTCAGCTGATTACATGCTTAATTAACTCTCGGTATTATTTGATCACTACAGCTGCTCATCAGAGTGGACACAACAGTGGAGTCATCCATGCCGGCATTTATTACGCTCCCGGATCGCTGAAAGCAAAACTGTGCGTGCGAGGACTGGAGAAGTCGTACAAGTACTTCGATGAGCGCAACATACCGTACAAGAAATGTGGAAAGGTAAGGAAATATACCTTTTTTTCTTGTTCGGTCATGTATCGGTGCAACATTTAAAATCAAAACCATTTCTCGAGGTTTCATCAGTGTATTCTGTGTGTCCCCTCTTATAGGCATTCTAAGGATGGCTTTAAACGGCCACTGTTACGCGTGCAGATGTGCCTTTCCTTGTGGCACGGCTGAAGTGTCCACCACGATGTGGTGCCATGCCAGAGAGTCATAAGAAGGCAATACCAGAGGGGCCGAATCGTGCCATCGTGTTCTGCTTTCGAAAGGGAAACTAAAGTGCCTTCAAGTTCTTTAGCAACGCACCATTTTGTTGCGATTCAGCGGCACTTGATAGTCGTGTCACCTAATGCCTCTCCATGCACGTATTTCTGTCAACCCATCGTTCTCCTTCGAGTCCACTCGCTAATATCCTCAGCATCAAGCAAAAATAATGTTGTCAGCTTCTGGTTCAAAGCAGTGTCCTCGCCGTCTGTTGCTCCTGCTGTAGTGAGAATCAGTGGGCAAAATGGTGATGGTGAGGGAAGACGCAATGCAAAATACATGTGATCACGCCCATTGTGTACTCTCAATCAAGCCAAATGTCAAGATTTGCCTAGTACTCCTGCTAGCCACCCTACTCCTGCTTCAGTGGGGGAGCATATAACAGCTGTGAATGCAAAAATAGAAAATCCGAAGGTATAACTGTCGTAAGAGCCAGTTGCAGTAGCAGAACTTGTGCGTACAAGTAAAGTAAGGAAACAGGAGTAAATATAGAAGGTTTGCGCTGCTTAGCGAAGGTCGTACACATAGACAGCCGCACTTTAGCATGAGGCAGCCTGGAAAGAAAATCGGAAGAAGCAGTTTTCCATTGTCTGTTGCTGACTCCTGTTACTGACACTGCTCACACACAAGGTAGCGAATGTAAAACATTTCGTTAACACCCCATGTTGTGATGCAGCTTTTCATTTACAGCCTTTTTGGCCCATACTGCACTGCTTTGACAGCACTGGGGTTATCAAGTTGGCATAGTGACAGGAAGGTGTTCTGACATTCTTCACATTCAGCATTACAAACAGGCTTTTGTATATTAGCCACAGTTTTAGATACCGCTGAGTATGCTTTGGTTGTTTTGCGCGTGCAATGTGCAACCTCCGTTTTCGCAGCTTATTGTGGCCGTTGAACCCGAGGAAATTCCACGACTGAACGCCTTGGAAGAGAGGGCCATCAAGAATGGAGTGAGAGACTTGAAGAGGTTGGATTCTAAAGAAATAAAGAGCGTGGAGCCAAACTGCACAGTATGTTGCTGACATAGAGTATGTAGGAGAGCGTAAATTTTTAAGTGCTCATTTTCTTTGCTAGGCACTATATTAATGAAAAAATGAAAAATACCAGACAATAAGGCCTGTGAAAGTGTAGGGGTGTTGTTAATAACATCCCCTATACATTACTTTTACTGGCATTATTGTCTGTTACTTCTCACTGACATTGAGTATGCCACTTAAAAGTGTGCACTGAAAGTGTGCATTTCATAGATGTTGTTATGAGTTTAGTTAAAGTCAGCTCGAAATGTAATAAAACCATGTTGTGGCATAGCTCATATTGAATGTGTTAGTGCTTCTGAGCAGGTTTTAGAACCACCTTATCAGACTTAAAGGACTCCTGACAGCAAAATTTTGTTTGCGACTTTTTTTACTGTGATTTGTAGCTTTGTGTTAGGTGATCCAAGAAATAAATGGTAAATCATAGAGGGTATCGTAAAATTAATGCTGGGATTGTCAATTCTGATCAATATTATTGTGACTTTGAAATGTTTCCCTAAAATCGTAAACAAGCGCTTCACCGCAGGGGCGCGTCTAAGATGATGTGCTGTTGATAGTTCAGTCTTCAAAGCGGGAGCCCCGGGCACAGTGATGAATGAAACGATGTGGGTGCTTTTCTATGATTAACACCTGCTAGGAACATGTCCCCTCAGAAAAGAAATGAGAGAATTCCTGAAGCAAGCAGCTAGACGCACCTTGAGCAAAGCCTGGCAACAGAGTGAGAGGGATGAGGCTGGGCCACCCCTGCCCGTGCTCCTCGCCCTCCCCCCAAAAATTCAGCCTATGCCTCTGGAACGAGGAACAAGAGCCCTTTTTGAGTTCAAGTTATGGTATTGCATGCACGCTGCAAATCTTCCGTGACATCACCGATACTTACTTTCTTCGTGGAAAGTAACATGGAGTCCCCGTTCAATGTCGCGAGCTGCTGGGAACTCAAATGAGCTCTCACGCTTACTTTAAGACTCGGTTGAAATATCTTAAAGGGGACGTTCGCCACTAACAACCAACCAGGAGTGCGTACGCATACCGGGTAATCCTACAATGCGAACGCCCCGAGGTTTCAATTTTCATGTCGGGTGGTGGTCTGTCAAGAGCGTTCTCTCCTTGGCATGCAGGGCTTGCAGGCACTCTGGTCTCCGCACACGGGTATCGTAGACTGGGGTGAGGTGACGCAGTCATACGGTCGGGACTTCCTGAGCCAAGGGGGAGACATCATCCTGAATTTCCCTGTCCGCGCAATCGAGACCGTGGCCGAGAGCCGGTCCAAGACGGGGGGCCTCACACATCCTGTGAGAGTGGTCAGCGACAAGAAGGTACTGTGGAGAGAGTCTGTGCAGAGTCAAATACATATATACATAAGAGATTGCTATTATTGGGCAAGCAACTGAATGCGCACAAGCCATTTGATACTTGGAAAACACTTGCTGACAGAATTAATCGCCCATATATTGTATCATACATACGTATCTGCCCGCATCGGCAATCATGAAGTTGCTATTCCTACCACGCCTACCATTTTTAAAATCAATTCATCGCCCGTACGTCAGCAAGTGTGAATCGCCTCCCCCGACTTGTCTTCAAGATTACTGATACTTCTAAATTTAAGGCTGCTATGGTTAACCCTTTGCTCTCATAATGGTATGACTTTTGTAGGGCTACAGCATTTTCATTTTTGAGTAGCCCTTTTGTTTTGTTGTGTTTTCCTCTTTGAACATGCCAATATTTTGACATGCTATTACAATGATGCATTCTTTGGTTCATAAGCACGTGCTTGAGCTTTGAGCCTTAATTCATTCGCGTTGATTCCTTGATGTAACGGATACTTTTATGCTTTGCATCCTTAATTGATTGCTTTTTTAACTGTGCACTGTCGTTATTGTGGGTTTCCTTCATTGCATCTATGTTATCGTCCAATTTTTAGCATATATTCAAATGATATATTAAAAAAGTAACACACTCCCTTCTGTAATGCCCTCGGGTCCTTTGGATACCGATGCAAATAAGTGAATAAAAATTAAAAATTAGCAGATACACCGTATTACAGGAATCAATGTAATGTGAAAGTAATAAAGAGCTGACCAATGACCAACAGATTTATACTAAATTATGCAGACTGAGCCAAATGGCAACATACATATACTGGACCAAATGCACACTTATACTGGGTCAAATAGCAGCTGTTCGACATATGCAAACACAAGCTATATTCGCATAAAAATTGACAGGATGTGCATGTCACTGAAATTGAGCTGGCAAAGAGATAAAATATACAAAGAGGAGTGTGAAGTCCCAATTTTCAACAAAGTTTGGGGAAACTATCGCTGCATGGGCAGTAGAGGAAAGCACAGAAAACGCAGAAACAGATATTCACACTGCAAATGTTGAAGAAGCTTGAGATTTTTCTACTCGGTGATGGTGAAGAACCATTGGAGTGGACAGGCGTGCAATGTCTTTTGAGAATTGTCTAAGTGATGCGTGGCGCTCTATTGTAAGTTGCAGCTTTCCAGCTAAATTGCCGTCTTTTGCGGCAGTGACATTGTGTTTCCTTTCTAGCATTTGCCAGCATCTCGAGCGGTCAATTGAAGCGTGCATGGCCAAAACGCATCTTTGCGTAGATTTTTCGCAAAACCAGAATTTGTCTGATTCTCGATGTCGGCTGTACATGTTGTCGTGCAGAGGTCTCTTATTCCACCACTAAAACAAGGCTGTATAACAACGGGCTGTAGCTGTGACACTCTGCGCAGCGGCCGATGCGAGACAGTAGCTGCTGTTGTTGTTGGTCTACGCATTCGGTCTGCACAACCAACCATCCCCTGGAAACTCTCTTATAACAGCTCCGCTTAAAAAAAGAATAATTACTAGAGGTGTACGAATATTCGAAATTTCAAATATTTTCGAATAGTATTTATTGTTCAATTTGATTTGCACCAAAATTTTGTTATTCGAACTTCCCATAGACAAATGCAGTCAACATCCAATGGGCAGTGGCCCCCATCATATTTTAAATATGCCTCACCCTATCACAATGTCGTACTGCGGCAAAGTCGCCTTTCAAGCTCTGCTACGGTTGCAAATGTGTTGACTCAGAAAAACACTGGTTTCAACGCGGAGATTATAGATGTGGCAAAACTGCAGGCCCAATTAATATTGTTTCGGTCCTCAAGTTCAGGCATGAAGTCCAAAAAATTAGACGCCAGAAAGTTTTACCATTGGAAATTTCAGATGTTTTTGTATGTGACAATGTTCAGATGTTCTTATACATACGATCGTTGAGATGTTATATGTTTTATATATTGAGGTAGATTTGAAACTCTGGACTTAATCTAGTCCACCAAATCAGTTGGTCTTACACAGAAGTTGAAAGAGAAGAGGCTGAGGAAATAGCATATTTTCCTTTCACATGTAAAGTGTTGTCGGCAATACCTTGGTTTACACCATGTTATGTACCTAACTACAATTTGGCCTCTGCATTGCCTCACTCTTGATCAGACAACTAGAAAACACCACCCGGGCAGTGCTTTATCAAACTAGCCAAAAGAAACACTTTCATGACACTATCCCATACGAACATGCTTAGGGATGTCTCTTCAACTTTTTTTCTGGAATTTTGCTTCGAAGTACTCGAAAATCATTCAAGAAATATCCAAAAAATATCTTTTTCAATTCGTTCTCACAATTCAATACTCGAACTCACTTTGCTCCCAAAATTTTGCCATTCGTCGAGCTCTAATAACTACCAGACTATAGCAAACTCTGTGATTACTTTGACTCAGTTACTGTGAACAGTATGCACAAGTGCCCAAGCACTTGTGTTTGGAGACTATCGCGGGACCTTTACACAAACACCCCACACAAATTTTCTTTTCCCATACCTTGGTATTATGAGAGAATGTGCACAATCGGAAGACCTAGCTGCCATTTTCGTCAATGTGCAGCTTCTTTTCATGAGTTCATCACTCATGAAAGTATGATGCTACTTCTGATTTTTTTTTTCCCGTGCTAAACTTTCTTGCATGCTGTTCATTGCTGTTTTTTGTCATCTTTATAGTGATAGTGTGATTTTGTCTAGTGCATATGTTCTGTATAGTTGAACCCAACTTATGTTAATGGCTACTTAAACTGTGTTCTTCTTTTGAATGATGTATCTCACCATCTAATATGCTGTTTATTACTGCTATAATTTAGCAGCCCTTGTATAGTTAATGTAGATAACTAATGCATTGTCTTGTTCAACCCAACTTACGTATGTGCCTACTTGAATTGTGTTTTTTTATTATGTATTATTATTATGTACCATACCACCTTTCCTTCAACAGCCTCAGATGTGAGATTAGCAGTATCTTCGAATAAATAATAATAAATAAATATATAAACCATCAGCCACACCTCTTTAGAGCCACCTTAATTCACAATCTATCAACCCATTGTGCGCCAGTTGCTGCAAATTAGTACAAACCACACATGTTTGCAAAACGTGTGGACCGTTTGATTACAAAGAGCTCAACACGGAATTCAGAGGACTGAAATGAAGTGCCTTTTACCTGTCTAGAGTCTGTAAACTTTCGGTTTAGTACAGTCAACTTATCGTACCATGATATTCTAAAAAAAATAGAGGTGTTCTGGTAGAGTGGCTTTTTGGAATTGTTGCCATTACTACCACTGCAGCTCTCCCCCAGAAGCACAAGCTGCCTCATAAATATTGGTGGCCAACAGCTGTTGACTGATGAATTTTTTTATACATTGTGCGTGTGTAGTATTTTAAAGTAAATCAGCAAAAGAAGATATTGATAACGTTTTACAGTCTAACCCCTTTATAAGAAACCCTGATGTAACAGAAAAATGGGTATAAGAGACATCAGTGTGCCCACAGTGAAAAAGGGTTGATAAGAAAGTTCATATATGGTACCCTGCTTATAAGAAGCACCTCATATAAGGGACAAGAGTTGCTTTGCTTTTCGGTGCGTGCCTCTTATAAAGGGGTTCAACTGTAATGACGCATTGCATGAAAATTCCGTTACAGCTGACTCAAAAAAAAAAAGAGAGAGAGAGAAGAATAAGCAATATGAAAAGCGATTCATTTGGAGTGACACCTGTACGTATAGAAGATGCCCAAAATGGTCGTATGAGAAGATGCCCACTTAGAAAGATGCATTATCAAAGTTGCAATTTGGTTTGAATTTAAACATCATTGATTTGAAGTACAAACACACACATGTTGTAATGCGATTACAGGCAGTCTGCTGTCGCTACATTGTCACCTGCGGCGGTCTCTACTCGGACAAACTGGCAGCACTCTCCGGTTGCGATCCGGAACCCAAGATCGTTCCATTCCGTGGAGAGTACCTTCTCCTAAAGCCAGAAAAGGCAGACTTGGTGCGAGGAAACATCTACCCGGTGAGTTTGTTTTTGCAACGAAAGCTGTCATGAGAATACTACAACAGCCAGTTTTGGTGGTGTAGTTGACTGCCGCCACCTTTAACGAGTATCACACACAGTGAGAAAAACGAATCCAGGATAGAGAAAAACTTGAAAACAAGCTTTTTCCGTGGCAGTCCAATATTCCACCGCAGAGCCACACCAATGTTTTAAACTCCTTCACAAAGAGACCCTATGTGGGCATCACTATTGTATCGGTGGTAATTTACTCATGCACGCTGACAAATTTAAATATTTAGGAGACAATGGTATGCAAAATTTGGCACAGCATACACACATAGAAAGTGTGCTCGAAATCAAACCAGAGACTAGGTTTTTTAAGGCAAAAATTACACCAAGCTACGGCACATATAAAACTGGTGGCGTACAAAACTTTTGTTGGATCACTCCTAGGACATGCCTCAATCGTGTGGAGCCCTCATCAGGAGAACCTGAAAATAAAATTAGAAAAAGTTCAATGCCGTGCCGTCTGCTTCAGCACAAAAGCAAAAGAACCGGTTGAAAGTTTTTCTTAGGATACTTTAGGGACAACTTAAAATTAACAAATATGAGTACTTGAAAGTGCCAGGCAAACAAAGCAGTCAGGTCAATCATAATCGTGTTTTACTACCATACTTTACTTGCAATAATGTTTTTTTTTTCTTTTTTCCCAGCTGTGATTGAACTTTGGAATGCGTTGCCAGGCGTTGTGGTAAATGCAAGTGATGTTTGCCATAGAGGAAAATTCTTGCACGTGTATTTAAAGGATTACGCTGCCACCTGATATACCTGTATGTTTGGTTCATTTGTATATATTTGTACCCTCTCTGTAAGAACCCTCAACAAAGGGTTGATGCTATTATGAAATAAATTAAATAGATATAGGGAAAAAGAATCACATTAACAAATGTCATATAGCATGGTAAAAGAGTAAAGTAACACCGTAGGTATAATAGTTTCTAAAGGAACTCTCAAATTCATTCAGAATGGTACATACACAAAAAAAAAAACTCTGCCAATAAGGGCCTCCATCTAGGAATTCCAAACCTGTCATTGTTAACTTCTGACAACCGGTTTCACAACCGCGACTCCACGGCACATTTATATCCTCACCTCACCACCGCTTCCTTATTTTCTTTCTATCCAAGGCATACCTGTTCCTTCTTCACTCATGCAATTCGTCACATCCTTCTCCTCCACTCTCTCACACCCGCATAACCAATGTTGTCCCTCCCCCTTCTTTGTTAGAATGTAGAAGAGCGTAGGAAGCGAAAAGACGCTAGCGCTAAAGAAATCAGTTCTGTTGTTGCCTTGTAGAAGACAAGTATGCTTGTCGAAACGTCGGCTCGACACAACTCCTGTTTACAGATTTTCATCGCAAACTTCCATCTTACTCTTCGCACAATTTTTTTGGAGTACGTAACACCATGCGTCACACTGTACAAGTTGTATAAAAAGTGGTTGGTTTAAAGCACTGTGCCAATTGCAGAGCACTCGAACATATTTCTTCATGGTCACCAGCTGCAGAATGAAGAAGTTCACATAATCATTTATTTTCAAAGATAGATTATGTATTGTGATAATGCAAGAAGTAAGAAGTATGCTCAAAGTGCTTGTCACCCGTGTGCCACAGATGAGTGCCCGAAAGATGCACTAAAAACAAATATTAAGTAAGTCACCCCCTGAGCTACTGCACTGTCTTGTTGAGACTTCTGCAAAAACAGGTACATATGATTGTTCAAGAAACACAGACAATGTGTGCCTGTCTCTGGCATTCCATGTGAGGTCTGCAATAAGCAGCTGAGCTGTGGTTGCTGAGACCTACGCAGCATGTGTGGGGCTCCTGCATCAATTGCACCAAGTCACCCTATTCTGAATCGAGCTGTGCTAAAACTGAGTTTTGTACAACTTTTTCCTAAATTTAGTCAATCGGAGTTTTTCCTCAGGCAACATTGGTTGCAAATACACCGCTGATTTATGCAGCACGCACCGGGGGGGGGGGGGGGGCGCTAGTATTTGGTTGGCCCTAGATTTCCTGGTGAAAAATTTTTTCTGGCATACTCCAGTTTGAAGACAAAAACTTAATGGAGTACCTGCGCAGGTTTGGTTAAGCCCATGCACTGACGAGAAAGTGTATGACATATTACCTGCCGCATCGAGTGTGAAAAATGGTGGTGGTGTTTGGTTATATAATCATTGCATCACCTGGTTAGCCACCCAGTGGAATGGAATAAACGCGCATTCAGGATGTGCAGCAGATTGTGGGGTCTCGACGAGGCGAAGGAGCGCCAGGCCACGCTCTTTGAGTGAACGGACACAAAAGACGCGGTCGGTACAAACCAACAAACACATACACATTTATGTAACTAATTTTAGAAGGACGATATCATCCGCCGAATCGATACATCAATTGTAATTAACATGCTACCATACAAACAACATAACACAGTAACACACCAAACACAATAACATACAAGGCGGCGTCGCCAACGCTTAACCTACCACGTGCCCCCCCCCCCTACCTGGGCGCGCAGGCCCGCGGTGCCACGCGCCGAAGACCCACACTAGAGACAAGCGTTCGCGGCAGCCGCCATGCAAGAGGCTCGCTCCACTCTCTCTCGCCGCCAAGGCCTGCCTTCCGCCAGGGGTCACCGCCAGCGCTACCACTCTACTCTACGCGAACACAACGCCATCTATAGCCCGGCGGTTGTCGCCAGAAATGCGGCCTTTGGGCGAGACACGTGCGCCACACGGCGCAAATAACTTTACAGGGGGTGTCAGCACCCCCCAAAATGAAGGATATGCATTGCTCAGCGAAACCATGCTACATGTCTTATCACTGAACACAACTACTGATGCTATTAAATCTGTTGTTTATTAATGTAGTCAACAGGTGATCATCATGCGGAGGAGTGGCAGCAAAAGACAGACAGGATTGAGAGGGGGATTCCTCTGCTTAATGACGTGAATGCTGCATTGCCATGGTGTGCTAGAACAAATCATAGGTGTTGATCTGCTTTTTTATTTAATTTTCATTTTTGTAGTAGTGTTGATTTTGGCAATTTCGAGGGATTGCATTAGATTAGGCCACCTTGAAAACTTGAATTGCACCAGCAGCACATCTACTAGATTTTGCAGTCTATTTCATGCCTCTCATGCTCCATACATAAATTTCTATTGCTGTTGTGTAGCATTTTTTTCCTGATTATTACTGAAACTTGTACTGCCATCACAGTTTCATACAGTGGCAGATTGATCGAATTTCTTTTGCTTGGCAGGGACATGAAATTTTCAACAAAAATTTTACCTTTGCATGTAAGCTTCTCTCTTAGCATTCGTATTTGTTCATAGCAAATCTTTCACAATTTACATATATTTTAGGATGGGGTGGCGACCCATGGAAAGGTTACTTTCTCTGCTACAAAACTATAGGTTTGCTGCTCCAAAGTTGCTCCAAAACGGGCACATATATTGGTGCTCCCAGCTCTGCTCTAGAATGTTGGAGCTTTCTTGTACTACTACTACACATGCCGCAAATATTTCCATCGTACCTACAGCACACACATTAAAGAACTAAAAAAAAAGAAACACTGCATTACCGCTTTTCATTCCGCGACTTGCCTCCTCGAAAATGGCTACTTGATTATCAAGACACACTCTTAAAGTCCAAGTGTAGTCTTCAGGCATTTGTACACAGGCATTTGTACACCTCTGCCATCAGAGAGAAGCTGCTTTTCCCAGTGCTTTAGCTCCATGCAAGTTCTGTATTGAACTTGTAAGCTTGGAAATCTTTTGTTTTGACTTCGTTGGGGACACGATGTTGTGCTAAAGGAATGCACATCACGCTTATGTGCGCTGCTTTAAACTCCTTCCCACTCTTGCTGAACAACGAATGTGTCTGAATGGGGCCATTCCCGATGTAAAGTTCAGCTTTCATTCTGCTGCACGTATGAGAAAACAAAGTGCTGCATTGAATTCTTAATGTCCACCACTCTCTCTGAACCTGTAGTTAGTATGTGTAAATTGAAATGAGAACTCCTTAGATATGTGTCTTGTAACACAATAAGTGGTCCATTTACATTCATTTTCAGTTGATTAACTTGCCCGAACTGTCTTTGGTGTTAGATTTCATGCGCTTCGATGGAAGGTACAGGGAAATATTAATTGCGCTTGATTTGTTTTCTTTTTATTTTCAGGTTCCAGACCCACGTTTTCCTTTCCTCGGTGTGCACTACACGCCTAGGATGGACGGCAGCGTCCTTCTTGGGCCAAATGCCGTGCTCGCGTTCCGAAGAGAGGGCTATGGCTACTTCGACATCAACGTGCCCGAGCTTGTGGACGCCCTGGCGTTCAGGTTAGTGCCAGACAGATTACTCAGTGCCCAACCAACACACAAGCCTATGGCATTGTCGCAAAATTTTCATAGAATGCAAAATGAAGAGGGGGTAACAGTGCCAACTTACAACCAATTTTATTTTTCAACTTGTGGGAACTATGCCATTCAAGAAATAGGAAGAAAAAACAATCTCACTTGACTGGTGGCCCCATCTGTTATCAACACATGTCACCACTCTATGCCACAGTTACGGCTGCTTGCTTTCTGGGATGTCGGGATGAATAATGACTGACAATCATGTTACGCTTCATAAATGTAATTTTTCTTCCCCTTATTGCACTCTTTGACTGAGATATCCTCAGTGGTAGCAAGCACATGGAATACATCAACCTGAATCATCCACTAAAGCACGGAAGCTCTCCGCATGAAATTCTGCTAGAAGCTCTGCGTAAACTCGTTATGTAAACCAGTTCTGGCAACCATTCTTTCTTCCACTCGGCTCGTTTCTGTCAAAACCTTGGTCGCCATTGAACAGCATGATTGAAATCAGCCACACAGCAACATAAATGACATGCGCTGCTCTTTTAATTTTCACCTGAATATGCGCCTTAGCAATGGAGAAAGTAAAAGCGATCCGCTGCGAAGTAGCTCACTTCGAAATGACTCGTGGAACATGCAAACTCGCTATTGATTGACTATAGTGGCTAGAAACGTTTTCCTACTGTCATGAACTGGTGCCTTTCTAAGTGGCGGCGAAGAAACCAAATTTTATGCACCGCGACGCATCGCTGTCTGTTGCTGGCAAGGGACGGGGGAGGTTTACGATAGGCTGCAGCTGGCGGCAGTGAAACTGCGTCCCTGTCGCAAAACTATTTCCCGAAACACTCATTTCAACCGTGGATATTATCGCTAATTATCTTCATGGCAAAGATAGAAGGAAACAAATATAATTTTTACTAAGCATATACAGTTGAATCCCGCTACAACGAAATTGACGGGGCAGGCGCAAAATTTCGTTATCGTGGAAATTCGTTGTCGCGATATGATGAAATACATACGTGACACGGGACTTGCTGAAGCAAAAGAACAAGCTTTGATGCCAAAAATCGCTCAACTTCGCCTGTTTCCGCTTCTTGCCAAGCGATGGCACAACACGACTTTCGCACGCTGCCAGTAGAGCCATTGCTTCATCGTCGTCCTGCGACCCGATGCAACGCCTGATGATATCGAATGGGTCCAGCACCTGTGAAGTCGGTGGTAGTGCGGGATCACGTTGCGCGATTGTGTCATCATCGTCCGACGAAACACCATCTTCCTGGACGCTCTTTATGATGTCTGCGTCCGTCATTTCCTCGCGAACCACCAAGCAAGAGTCGGCTTGCAAGAACTCGCTGATATGTACGTCGGCGGGCACATCACTTTCCTGCAGGTCTGCCCAAGCGACTGCGATTTCTTCGTCCTGGTCCAGCAACGTGTCCTCATCGCGGTCTGCGTCGCCATCGTAAGCTTCAATCGCAGAATCGGAAGTCTCAGCGTACTGTACTGCGAATCCGGCATGGCGAAAGCAGTTCGCGACTACGGCGCTCCCAGTCTCGCACCACGAAGCAGCGATCATTTGGAGCGCCATGAACAAGTCGATTTTCGTTTCACGACCCAACTGAGTGTTCAATATCAGCCTTTGGATAAGGCGCTTGCGGTACGCCCACTTTACGCTTTGGATGACCCCTTGGTCGAGGGGTTGAATGATGGACGTGCAGTTCGGTGGCAAAAACTTGAGCTGCACGTTCTCGAGCTCCGTGTCCTCAATGGAATGTGCGAAACAATTGTCTAAAAGCAGACAAACCTTGCGGCCTTGCCTGCCCATGTCCCGGTCGAATTCCTCGACCCACTCTCCAAAAATTGCACGGGTCATCCACGCCCGGCTGTTGGCCACGTACTTCACTGGAAGGCGCCGATTTCCTTTGAAGCAGCGCGGTTTTGCGCTTTTGCCAATGACCAAAAGCGGTCGCTTATCTGATCCGTCCATATTGGCGCACAGTAGCACGGTGATCCTTTTCTTGCTGTGTTTACCTCCTTGACAGCGCAGCCCCTTAAAATCCAGGGTCTTGTTCGGTAACATTTCGTAGAATAGACCGGTCTCATCGGCATTGTATATGTCCGATGATGCGTAGTCCTTAAGGATGCTTCCAAGGCTGGCCGACATCAACGCGGCGGCGCCGTCTTTATCCGCCGAAGCGGCTTCACCACACAACACTTTGCCGATGATGCTGTGGCGGGATTTAAATCTGTTCAGCCAACCTACGCTGGCCTTGAAATCATCAATGCCGAGCATGCAGGCAAAATCCAGCGCCTTCTGCCGTACAATATCGCCGCTAAGGGCAATTTTCTTGGCCTGCGTCTCCACGAACCAGGTGTAAACAGCCTTGTCTAAGGCTTCGTGCACTGGCTGGGTCACTTTCTTATGCTTAGCGGACGTCCCTGAAGCTAGAGCTTTGCCTATCGCGTCCTTGCTCTTCAATATAGTTGACAGAGAGCTCGCCACAATCCCGAACTTTTCAGCGATGAGTGCCTTCTTCTTTCCAGCTTCAGCCTGTGCGATGATGCGAGCCTTGTCTTCGAGTGACAAAAACTTGCGCTTTTTCGCTGGCTGTGCCATCGTTTATCGCGTTACTGCACCTTCGGGAAACAATCAAACAATGACCAAAGCGTGCGACCGCTTGTTGTGAAGAAGCTAGCCCTAGTCAAGCCGCCGGAAGCGGAAGCCGTCGTCCGAACGCATCGTCGCACTCTACCGGGATTTGCCTCCCATCTCCAATTTTGTACGTACGTACGTACACATAAATTGGAAATTCCTGACATTGAAACCATTCTCACAAACGTTATAAAAATGATTAAAAGTACTATAAAAATCAAATTAATGCGTGTTGTTTGTACACAGACACGATTCAAAACGTTTCCGACGTTTCTTCTGAATCTACATGAGAGCGCGTTGCATTGATTGCATCGCCATCACTATCGCGGTATGTATGGCGGCTTTGTGTTGTTTACATTGCGCAGCGAGTCACCGTTGCGCCCAGTATGCACGCTCTGAGCAACATCTTGTGTGTGTGTTTTTTTTTTTAAATGTTATTAAGGTCTATGGTTTGTCAAGGCATTAAAACACTTTTGAGAATTTCAATAAGCTGTAATTTGAATAATTTTGCTCGTGCCTGTCCCGCAAAAAACTTCGTTGAAGTGGAAATGCTGCCGTGAAGTAGTTCGTATTGGAGGGAATTTCGAAGCATTATACCGTATGGGACATCGACGGGGAATGGAAAAACCTTCGTTGTGGCGGAAATTTCGTTGAAGCGGACTTCATTGTGCCGGGATTCGACTGTAACCTTTTACAGATGCACAAACTAAGAGTTCGACGTATTGTTGTCCCTCGCACACAATTTAACTGTCTTCGCAAGACATCTTCCTCAAAATGCAATTTTACCTGTGCTTTCTGCCCCCCCCCCAATCAAGGTGGATGTTTCAGCTGACAAAGGCTGGAATGGTCAACTAGTAACTGCCAGACTGATGAAGTACCAACAAGAAAAAAAAACTATGCAACAGAGGACACACCTGTTTTTCTTTCTTTTTTCTACTTGAAGCTGTCAGTACCGATTGTTAATTTGGGAAATGTACCCGCTTTATTGGGCTTTTCTACGCACACAGAAAGCAGCCGCTAAAAAGTTCCTTGAAAATCAGCGTGTCGATTGCCTTAAAAGTATGGCCTTATTGAAGAAAAGAAGTTATGTCAGCGCATGTCATCATGGCCGTGAGCGTGAGCGATTAAATGCAATCGCTCTCCCACATTGCAATGCCTGTGTGCACCAGTGTCACTGCTGTGTACTGTTAGACAGAGTCAGAGTATGGAGCTCGGTGCTGGCACCTAGTGGCACCTTGTGGGAGGAACCTCACGTGACCCAAACACTGCTCTTCATTTATGTTAACTATTGGCGATTAACATGCTATCTATTGTTCCTTGTCAAAGAGCAACCATTGTCAACTGCGAAGACAGTAAGTACAGGCCTCTGTATGAAGAGAGGAAGCCTAAAAAAAAACGGCGACTTAACACTTCGCTTTTAAGCTTTCTTTGCTGTGTACATTCGCAAAATTTGGCTGAGCGTTTGCAGAAGCCTCTTGTTCCCTCAGGATGTGCGTTTTCACCAAGGCTGAGGTGGGGTTTGTGAGCTTTTTAACATTACCTTTTCTTTTTTGTCACTTTTTCTTGTTATCTTACAGTTAGCCACGCATTTACTCATTGAACTTCTTTTTTTTTCCATATGGAAGGGGTTTCCGCAAGCTGGTTGGTCGGAACATGTCCTACGCCTGGAAGGAGCTCTATCGAGGCGTGTACATCCGAGCTCAGGTGAAACAGCTCCAGAAGTACATCCCACAGCTCCAGTTTTCAGATGTCTCACGGTACGTTGCCCTTAGTATTGATGTGCACTAGTATCGCCAAATTATTTCGCTTTCTTTTTGTACTATTGTCGCATTGAGTATACATAACTCACAGACACAAAAAAAAAACTAGAGTTCCACAAAGTGAAACCTTAGAAAAAAGCGGGGCCTTGGTTGCCCCTTTGGTGTTTTTTTATGTTTTGCACACAATTTTTGGTGTTTTGTTTGTGTGTTTGGATGTTTTATATCTGTGTTGCTACGGTTGATGGTGGCATTTCTGTCCTGCTGTGGTACTTGAGTGTGTTGCCTTGGTGGACCTGCACTTTCTTTTCTCAAACCTTGTCGTTGGCTGCTTCCCTTCGAGGTCGCTTGGCCTGTGCTTCCTGCCCTCAAAATTTCGGGGCTTGTTGCTCGACGTTGCCGCTGCCACTCACGTGCCAGATTCCACTGCCAGATGGTCTGTGCAGAGTCTACTTTCCGATGCACTTTTCGATTGGTTTGTGCTTCGTGCCTCCCCAAGGTTGCTGGTCATGTGATCTGCGGTGTGCATCTGATTCGATTTTTCTCCTTGCCTCTTTTCTTCTGGTCGTGTGACCTGACTCCTCCTGTGTGGCGTCAGATGGAGGAGTGTCAATCTAGAAGAACTTCGCTTTAAAAGAGTACTGACACGAAATTTAAATATTTGATTGATTTATTGATTGATAATTGGGGTTTAACATCCCAAAACCATCATGTGATTATGAGAGACGCCGTAGTGGAGGACTCCGGATATTTCGACCACCTGGGGTTCTTTAACGTGCACCCAAATCTGAGCACATGGGTCTACAACATTTCCGCCTCCATCGGAAATGCAGCCGCCTTAGCCGAGATTCGATCCCATGACCTGCAGGTCAGCAGCGGAGTACCTTAGCCATTAGACCACCGCAGCAGGGCGAAATTTAAATATCTGAGACTTGTTGCCCGGAATAAAAATCACGGGTGTCGCGAATTCTAGGAACAGAGTCACAGTGCTTGAGAATGCACTCAATACATTTTTAATATCACTACCTTAAAAAAATGCACATTTGGTTTTGGTGTAGAGGGGGCAGCTTTGCAGTGACCTGTGAACGCAAGTGTAATGTCATGAAAAAGACTTACTCGCGATATACTAGCTGGAGCCTCGTCCTTTGCTGTCAGTCGCACTTGTTTCACGTAAAAAATTACAAGTGAATTGCCGTCCAGGGGCTCTGATAGCAATTCCTGCAATTCAGGCTGCATGCTGGATGCAGACATCGCAAACCCAATGAACTGTGTTCACACATCGTAATAATCTCCATTTCAGTGGTCCTGGCTTGGTGAAGCTGGGGGACGAAAACTTTAACATCGAAGTAAAATGTTTTAGACGTGCTTTCTGGTTCTAGTGCACGGAGAGCGCTGATAGTGCATATCATGGGCATAAAAAATTGTCTCTTTTCGGATGCCTCGAAATTGTGCCAGTTTCAAAAACAAATGTGATTTCTATTGCTCTCTCCCTCTCCGTCTATTTTTTTAATTCTACAGAGGTAGCTAGCCTTTTTTAGTAGCACACCAGGCTTCCACTGACTATATTCCGCTTAATTTGATTTTTTTGCTAATCTGATCATGATTGAAGGTCTCAGCTGGTGCCAAAGCACTTCTATTGGACCAAGCGCTCATTGCATTAGCCCTGCAGTTTGCTTTTTCCAGACAATTCGAACCTGACCTCATCTGTTATAACAGTAGTGGTTCCTACAGTCGCAGGGTTCGTTTTGGTGGCATTTGGGGAACAGTTAGAGGGTCATCTAGATTTCAACTGCGAAACAGTTGCGGACAAATTCTTCCAAAGTGCCATCACCTGCTCGGGAGAAAACTTCCTTTTTGCGGAAATTTTCCTGTAGGCAGTGGTGTTTCCGATGTTAGTTTTGAGCGAAAAGTTGGTGTCCGTAAGCTAAAAATTGCAATGTTTGCATTTAACTCGGGCCTTCTGCGTGTCAATCGGGTGTTTTACTGCAAAGCTGCGCCAATGCTTGAAATTGTTTCGTAAGAAGACCATGCATGTTACACAGCGCAAGGAGTCATGTTAAAGCATGTAATGTTGTGTGACAGAAGCACATTATCACACTAGGCATCACACTGTGTGAATCGCGCTACAGATATGCAGCCCGGAGGCCGACGCTTCCCACAGTGCTCAGACTTGATTATCACTTTCACTGGTTACCGTTGCTTCACTAAAGGAAGATTTATGGCGTAGTGAACATTTGCAGCTGTGCCTGAAGTAGGTATTTTAAGTGAGCTTGAATGACCAATGTTACGCTCATATACATTTCTTTCCTCAAGGCACAGTTGAGGTGACCACGGAGGAGCGAAGCTTAGCTATTGAATGAGGAGGCAATGTGAGAGGGCATCGATTATGTTATCACATTCTACTCTCAAAGGCCAAGTTCAAGCACTCTCCATCCTCTTGAAGGTGATCCGACGCGGAACTCAAACCGTATTTTCGACAAACTACATTTGCAGCCCGTCTGGTCAGGGTCAGACAGACAGCGTCGCATCATGGCGACCACTGGTGGTCACCGAATGTGTTTACTTGGAGCACAAGAGTAATAGCATTCCACCTTTAGCCTAAGTACGAATGCATATTGAAAGGCTAAATTGTTCCTCTTGTTAAAAATACGCTAAAGAGAAAAATTGAGTTTTCTCGTATTAGTGAATTATCTTTTCGCAATACGAAAAGTGTCACGCCTGCTGTAAGAAGATGCTTGGCAGGTGAAAAAATGTGCAAAAATAAAATGCAAGTGGCGACAAGCATCTTCAAGTTGCCGTGCCAGTCGCCTCGAGGCCCCTAGATTTGGATAGTGTCTACATGGGCCTACATTGTTCCTAGTTGGCGAAGATTAAGTGCATCGTTAACACAACAAGTTTTGGAAAATTTCTTTGAGCCAATGCGGCCAAATTACTAAAATCACTTTGAAATCCATGACATCAGGTATTTTTTTAATGGAAATTGAAGCTTTTGGCATTGAGTTTCTCATCTGCTATTAAAGCTTAAAATAACAGAAAGCTGAGATAGTTGGTACATATTTATGCTTAAAGAAAAAACAGGGAGTGCAAACATGCACAAGAAAAAAGTCAGAATGACTACTATTAAACCAATGACGATGAAATTCATGACACTAGAGTTTTCTTAGTATGATTTATCAGTCTTAACTAAGTTGTTGCTTCACTTTACGTACAGTTGATGGAACTGTAGCTATGTTGTGTCCTGTTATTTTTCCTCGTCCAATTTGTGCTCTGCAAGCATGTTGGTTCCTTTAAGTTAGTGGCAACAAGGCATGTCACGAGGTTTTGGCATACTTGTGGTACTCCACTCCATAGGGATGAAGAATTACTTAAAGGTGACGACGGCGGGCGTTAAGTGAAAAAAACTTGTTTTCACAAGATTTGTCAATTTTCGTCTTTATCGTATCACAGGAGTCTGAGAAATACATTGTTTTCATTGCCAAGAGAAAATCGGGCGTGCAATCGAGTGTTCTTCTGGCGTTGCGATGTCATTTTTACATTGATTTTCTTCCCTAATTGTGCATGATGTCGGTGCAAGTTTGATTTTGAAGTTTGCTTATGTAAGGCTGCTTTTACTGCCAATTGAGTCAGCATTGTACTTGATGTTCTCTTTTTTCTCTTCAAGTTAATCGAATCGGCTTGATAACCCGGCTTACTTCACTCAATCTAGCGAAGGTCGATTGCATGTGGCTGTAATAACTTCTTTTGTAAATTGTCATAGCGACAAGGTAGAAGTTCAAATGAAGTAGGAGCCTTGAAGACAATAAAATCCTTGAGCACGGAGTGTCGCAGAAGCTAACGTTTCAAGAAGTGACCTTGCTTTCTTCGCACCTATTGCCATCTTGAACTTGCTGAAAACGTTGTCGAAACGTTGCCGCAACGCTGGCTTCGGCGACACCTGCTGTTCAACAATATTAATCTCTACATAGTTGTTGTTACCCAGGAATACATTGCTTCAGTCGCCACATTCTTTTCAGTTTGGGGTTTGACAGAACTCTGCATGGCGAGGAAAATGACCCATTATTAAATGCAAAAGGCATAGTGACTAGTTCATTTTGGCCTGAAATTCATCTTAGACGTTGTACATTGCACACGACTTAATCAGAAAGTCTAACTGGACTGGAAAGTCTGTGACTGTAAAATAGCTGTAAATCGTTCTTATAGAGTGCTTATTTGAGGACAGCTGTTAAGAGTACTGCCTTGAACATTGTGTGGCACTGAAGTTTGACATTTTGTGCAGACATATAACAATCATGCATCATTGCAGGGGTCCCTCTGGTGTGAGAGCTCAAGCCCTGGACCGCGAGGGGCATCTAGTCGACGACTTTGTCTTTGACAGCGGCGAAGGCGAACTTGCCAAACGCACTTTACACGTTCGGAACGCTCCTTCACCAGCCGCCACATCATCTCTCGCCATTGCTGAAATGATTGCGGACAAAGTGCAAGAGACATTCCAACTCTGACGAGTTCATCGACACCAATGCCGTGAGAGTCTGTGACACTTCATATCATCTGCTGTCTACTGATTGCTCAGGTGGTATTCTGGGCTTGTGCGAATATTTGAACACTTATAATATTCAAACTAATAGTGCAGCATTTGCTTCAATTCTAATTTAAATTGTTAAAAATTGTAGAGTATACGAAATAATAAATAGATGTACATTAATCCTCGTGATTTTTTTTTTGTAAAGTTGGTTTCGCTGCAATGGAAGGGTGCTAGGCCGTAAAAGCACCTAATTAGGTGTATAAAAGTTTGTATGCAATCTTTTGTAGATGTGGTTTCACTGCATTAAAGGAGTGCTAAGCCATGAAAACACATATCCAGAAGAAATTCGGACTGTCGCGAAACCCTACTTCAAGGTAATGAACATGTTTCCTTCTCATCAATTATTCTTGTTTTAACTTTGAAAAGCTTTTTATACCGGCTGATAAGCCTTTACTATAGTAAATTTGAAAACGTAACATACGTTACAAGTTATCACATGCATTCTACTGAAAGCCAAATTCTGCTGCTATTTGAAGTTGTTTCCACATTGAAAAAAAAAATTATAGCAATTGCATAGACCATGTTTCAATTCTTAAAATTTATTGTGCGCTTTAGTTGGGTCATGACAAATATGCCCATTTTGGTTTATAATATGTTATCTATACTATGCGAATATGATTAGAAATTATTCAACCAAAATCTCTATTTGCTTTCAATTCGCTTTGAACCTAAAATTCACTGGTCGTATAAGCCTACGATATTCACATTAAGTTCTGACAAGAACCATGAAATCTAGTCTCGTCTTGAAGCAGCCCAACCGACAGCGTCGAGTAAAAGGTCAAAATGCGATGATCACTATTTTGCAGCCATGGAAGTGTAAGCAGATGTGAATATCACCGACTGCGAGGCATTTCGACATAGTGATAGCAAAGCATGTGAACATCAGTGAGCGTGATTTGCTGTGGACATTGGTGAGCAACTCGCATCGTCACCAACGCAAACGTAGGGGACTGTGACAGTGGCTTCTCCTTGGCTTAGAGCCGTGATTGGTCAAGCCATTGCTGCCGGTTGTAGCAGTGAGTGCCGCTTCGATGGGACACTATAAGCAACCTTAGACTCCAGGATAGCAGATAATTGGACTAGTTCAGGAGCCCCAAACTCACATCAGCTCTCAGGCCATAGTCACAATATTTAGTCCCACAAAAGGCCAGAACAGCGAATAAGCGAAGATCGAGACAGTGGGGGAAAGGGGAGAGAAGAATGAAGTATCATACTTAATTTATTGTTTCCATTTTGAAGGAGGCCTTTGCCGTCCTCACGTAAGGGTCACTTCTGAAAGGGACTAAGCCGAGAAGCATACCGATCTGCACAACGACTAAAATCTGGACGCTGATCCTTAAAGGGGCCCTGAAACACTTTTTGAAATAACCATAGAACGGATTCACTAAAAGACCTTATTGCCTCATGAACTCAATGCCGCAAAAATTTTAAGAGTCCATCTCATACGAGCAGAGTTACAAATATTTGTCACACGCTGCAGTCGCATTCTCTCTTCTCTCATCCCGACGAAAGTGTTGGAAGCTAAGCAGGGAGGGATGTCATGGGCAAAGAAAATACGTCATGCGCACATCGTGACCGTGAGACTTTTTTTCTTTTTCTTTTTTGAAAACGTGGCTTCTTCAGTGTGATCCTGTGTGCATGTGTGGACAAGTCATGGCCTCCTGCGATGATCCCTGTGATGTCTGAGTGCGCCATGTTCAAGTCAGCCAATCGGTTGAGAGAAGAGAAATCAAATTTCAGTTGACTTTGATAATTTATCGTGAATTATATGCCACAAGCTGTGTTAAAATATTTGGTTCGTGTGTTCTTGGGTGCCTCGACTACCGATTGGCAGTATTTTCTGACAATGCTCAAAAGATGTTGCAGGGCCCCTTTAAGCATAGACTGCTTGTTGCGCGGTTGTGTTTCAGCGCAAGGTGGGACTGCCTCATGAAAAAAATGCTTAAGTCCGGTCATATTTGCATAGAGTATGCACACAAAGCGTTATTATGATGGACAAGAAAAAATAATGCGAGCACCATTTAGCATTGTCACGAACAACCAAAAAGTCGTAAAGGAAATATGGGATGAAGAATGGCATGTGTTTGCTGCGAATCATACGCGGCCCATGTTTGAGATCCCAGCACTAGTTGATATAGACTCTTAGTTTCTTGAAGTGCAGACACGGGCGAGAGCGACGAGCGATATGCAGTGCCGCTGTGATTGATTGCTATTTTTGCATAACTGTATTTCTGGTAATGTTGCTGTAGTACAGGAGTTATCATGATGAAAATTATAGCCCAAATTTTACTTTTTTTTCCTACCGAATATATTTTATGTGTCCTATTTAGCATATTTTGATGTCTTTTTTTGTATGTAGTCTCATGATGCTTTATTAGTGCTGAAAGTATGTCGAGATCATAAAGTGGCTTTATTAAGCACAATGTTGTCTGGTATCAGCAGTAAAGATAAAGAGGTGCTGATGAAGGAAAAGCAGAGAGGTTAACTTGAATAGAAACTTCAAAACTGCCAAATGAACTAGTAATAGCAATAAATGGATACATAAATGATTTAGTTGCTAAAAGGGAAAGAGCAGCTGTCACGAAAATCAGTATCACAGCAAGCTAATGTGGAGATCTCAATGTGCTGCCGTGGTCACTCTTTCCTTGTGATTTTATGCTGGCCCTATGAACACTCCTCGCAGGGTTGGATTTCTTCATTGTGGTTGTTGTTACTTGTTGTTGAAGAGAACTTGCCGACAGTTCTCTGCCTAGTGTTCTCTTCCTAGTGTTCTCTTCCTAGTGTACTCTTCCTTGTGTAGTTTACAAAGGTTGTGATGCACATACAGCATAGACTTGTCACGTGAGCAGGAACAAATGATGTCGGTCATTGTCCTCAAACAGCAAAACCATCCTTCCATGTTTCTTAAAAATAAAGCACCATTTTTCTTGCCTCTCTGTATGATCAATTTCATTAAAGGTGTCCATGAGGAAGAAAGCTGCCTTTTGGCACCAAAGATTATCAAAGGACCAGACTGGGACGTGGATTAGTTGGTTGTACTTCGAGATTGAACGACAGTGCACCAACACCCTGAGAAAGAAGAGAAGAACAACGAAGATGCAGCTGTGACTGGCAACTGAATTTTTAACTGTTGTGTAGTTTAAGGGACGGCCCTGTTGTCGCCCCGTCTCTTGTTGGTGTCACACACATTTGGTCTTGCTTTGATGCCGTGCACATTTGACACAAAAGCCAAGCAGGCTGCATGTTCTGAACGTCAGCACGTATGTGCCTATGAACGCCAGCGATGCCGTAGTGGTAATTTCACTGTGGCATTGCTTCCAAAGCTAAAATTCAACCACATCCGCAGCGTCCTTCATACTTGTGCATTGTCAAATAAACAAAAAATATTGCACACATCTGAGGCGCAATATCAACATTCGTACTAGAGAAGGCTTACATAAGTAATTCTAAGGACCGTAGTGTTTATCACGCTGCGCTGATAATGCAACGCTACGCACGAAAAGGCAAGCGTTTTGTACCCTTTGATAGGACAAAATGGTTAAGGTGGCTTAAGTATGATAGAATATCATTATCATTCTACCTACTCTAACACAGTGATGGCGCCTACCCATCGTCTTGCATTCTACATGTTATGGCCTCCGAGACAGGGGCGCACACCCCGCGCTTGCTATATCAGAGGTCATCCTTTCGTTCTTTAAGGTAACTGCCAGGTGGTGCTCATGTCTCACACGGTACCGTAGGTCCCTAGTTCCTTAACACCGTAGAGTACCTCGACGCACTTGCTCGCCTCCGCTGCATGCTTTGAGACACTGCCTCCAGATTCCCATTCACCGATTTTCTCGTGCGGAACATCATATGAACGTTTTGTTCACTCTCTCAAGGACAGGGCTATCGTCTTTCGATGACATTTGCAGCGAAACATGCAGATAAGGGGCCAATTTTTTTTCTTGAGTGTTCATATATATACATACATATACGGTGAATAACGGCGACGGTTATGGCGAAATACCATCCGAGACTGTCCATATCATTGCTATCGTAATAAAATGAAGGGGCTACTAGGCCAAAAGAGTGCTGTCAAAAGGATATAAATGTTCAATGTGCGGCTGATTACATGTAAGAACCTAACATATAAACACAAAATTATCACTTAGATGGTCCAAGTGGAATCGAGTTGGAGGAGTACTGACAAGAATATCAAATATTGTGCGCATTTGTTTCGTACTTCTTCGACTACCACAAAAACCACGTTGCGTGAACGTGATGGAGGCAGTCAAATTCGGAATGCAGTTGTTAATTTAAAAAAAACGCGTCTCTTAGTTTTTCGAGTCTATTAGTGGCGAATGATGTGTAGTGTGCACACACTCGATCACGATTATAATGGCACGCGGTGACAATGGGAAGAGGGAGAGAAACGGATGATGGCGATTATGATAATGCACAGGGAAGGAGGAAGTACATAACTAATGCCCACAATATTTTGGGATTGTTGCTCTAATTTAGAACACTATTTTTGAGGACCAGTGTTCCAAATTATTGCGACAAGTGAGAATTCTCGTAAATAACTGCTGCTACTGTAATTGTTCTGGGAGGTGGGACCAGTCAATCTGCCTATACGTAGCTTTTATCCCACCATCCTAGCTTTTTAAACGTGTTTTGTATTTATTTGGCAGTAAAGTTAACTTATTTTGTGCGTACGTAAGTGGTGTGGGTATGCGTGGGACCGGGAGGGGGGGGGGGGGGGGCGTGCACCTTCGTGGCAGCCTGCAGCACCATCATGTACAACAGGTTTCAGAAGACCTTCTCTAATCGGAGAAATGAAGGCGAGCGAAGCTCGGTGCGGGCGTGTTTCCTAGTTTTCTTTTAACGCTGCGTATTGTAGTGCTAGCTTGTGACACCGCCCTCCCCTCGGAACGCGTATTCTCTCCCTGCACAGGGTCAGCCATCATTTCCACAGGTTCACAACTAATATGTTAAATTCCAATGGCGGAGTCGGAGCAAGTTTTTCTGCTCCTTTCAGAGCAAGAGTGTTCCAATGACAGAGTGAGAGCGAGAGTCAAAAGTTCCAATGAGAGAGCCGGAGGGGATTCAGAGCGGGAGTCCCTCCGTGGAGCAGGAAAAAAAAATTA